AGAGTGATGTACGTTTTTCGCTATATACTTCCATACTCATTTGTAGTCGAATTTCACAGACTTGTAGTTAAGATTTTTGTAAGAGTTCAGTTCACTGTGAAGAATAATACTAATCCTCTCGTATCAACGCGACTATTTCCTTCGAGTCTCTTCAGAAAAACTTTTGCCAATATGGGTGCTCAGACCGCTCGGCTCATCCTCTTTCTGAGACTCTGAGGTTTCACAAGGTATGTTGGTACAGTTGAGCTCCAAAGAACTGAAACTTTTCGATAGTTTGTACGATCAATAGTGATAAAGCACTGCCTTTCTTCTATCTGTCTCACAAATGCGGTACTTTTGAGATTTGTATTGATGTGTTCGTTCTTGGAGCATATCGCGATGTTCGCTATGGTCAAATCAGTTTTCTAGTACAATATCAGAATCAGTGAGACCATCAAATCCAGAAATTTCATAATTTTGCAGTTTTCTATCGATAATCAATTATGCAAATATTATTTCAGCCCGTAGAAAGGAAGATAAATGTTGATTGCATGAAAATGAGATGCATGCATTTCGCAATATGGTGACCTGTAGAATGTATCTATCAGTGGTAAATGCAAAAATGGAGCCATGTTTGTTTGTTTTTGTTCTAGTTTATTTTATTATTTATAACCATTATTGGCAATGTGCGACGATCCGGCATCTCGCTTGGTCATGCTGAGACAGGGTGAGACCACAGTTGATTCAACACAACGTGGATGCACACCATCATTGCTTCTCTCATGTATCGTTCTCACTCTGACAACGGCCTTTATTTTTGGCTGGGGATTGGGTGCACCGAACATGTACAATAGCTTCACTGAATTGTTTCTTAAAGGTCAAGATTCGTGTATTGTTCAAACGCAAGCTGTGCAAGAGAACAATGGAGTGGAGAAAATAGGGTCAAGTGTATCGAAACAACAATCCACGAATGTCATCGATATGGCATATTTGAAAAAAACTAATGAGCGAGTAGACAATCAATCGGTAATCATAGCCGAAGAGACTATTCGATCAATGTCAACAGAGAAGAGATACAACTTTCTTTCTGAATTGATAAAAGGTATTCCACAGACAGTGTTTCTTGTCGGAGCATTTCTCGGCGCGTTGACTGGACCATTCTGGGTGAAATTATTCGATCGCAAAAGAACAGTTTGTGCCAATTATATCTTTACTTTTATTGCGTCTCTTTGTATGCTCTTAGCTTACCTTATTAATACTCCATGGCTCTTCTATATAAGTCGATTGTTTCTTGGCTATCAAGGTGAGTTCATCTCAATGTCTATTAATATATCTGAGTATATGAGATATTAATCTTAATTAACCACAAGAAACATAGCGACCTTGTAGCTAGGTCATGGGCTTTCAAAACCCACAGATTACTTCTTTTGTTTTTTCTGATGTTTTTTTTGAGTCACCACAGTCTTTCGTATCGTATTTGCTAACTTTTGACTATTTTTCTGATTATATTTTTAAGCCAACTACAAATACTCATGAGCTACAGTGCGTTTAAAGCTGCATGAAAAATAAAGATCTAGCTAGATCTCTACTCTAAAAATATGTTTCAGTACTTTCTTCAACAAGAAACATGCACTCTTTCTCAAAGAGCTTCGTTAGTGATGAACGCAAGTCGATAGGGACCCAAACAGGTTCAGAAAACCTTGTTCTTTTGTAGTGCTAATAGTATTTAATAGTTATGTTCGCATGAAATGACTCAGCTGCTCACATGAAAAATTAATATTATCTTCTGCAAACAGCCAGTACCATGTCCATTTCTGAAAAAATAGCTCTTGAAAGCTTGTATTCTCAACGAACTTTCGAGAAACAACTGATTTTTAATCATTCGTTGGATTTATTCATATCCATATCTTTGAACGTGAAAGTTTTTGATTCAAGAAGAATGTCTTCACTGAGCTCTTCCTCTTGGACTCCTTTGTCTGTTTACTCCAAGTCTTGATGTTCATTATCGTCAAAGCAGTCCTCAAATTAATTATTCAATTCACAATTGGAATCTGAAATATGCCTTTCTCTGCCTTTATTGTTGTCATTCACTATGTCATTGAAAATGATATTTCGATAGTTGTGAATTCATATATGACTGACGATGAAGTTTAAGAAAACATGGAATGTCACGTTGTTTTTCTCTGTCAGAGGATCAGCAATTTTAAACAAACAAATAAGTTCATAGACACGGGTAAAGTCATTGCACGAAATCATTTAAATTTCAAGTGCAGATAAAGATGAGAAGTCACAATCAATCGAAGATGAGTTTGTAGTTTCCCTGTAATGTTTTTAGAAAGTTAAGATGAGAAGATAAACTCTCATTATAATTCTTTATGACCTAAAACAGTAAGACTTTGTTCGCCAGTCAAAGAAATTTCAGGGTGGTCAAATTGACAACAATTGAACACTTGAGAAAACGTCAGTGATTGTATGTATTTCTCGAAACAGGTACACACGACAGAAAAATGAACATATACATATATATATATAGAACATTATCGACCATCTTACGTTCAATGAAAACAAGAAGAATGTATATATCTGAAAAAACGTCCTTGGCGCAATTTCTGCAATATTATTATGTGACACACGACATATCTATTGTTGCTAGTCACAGAGAGATTGTCGTATTCTATTTATTTTTGGGACACATTTCTTCAACCTCTTTATACGTAATCATCTAGAAATGTAATAAAGAAGTAGTTGATATATTATAACGAGATGTAGTTGACATAAGGTCTAGAATCATACATCAACAATGTCTACCATGCTCTATTATAGAGAAGAACCGCTTTTAATAATGTCTCTCATGTATGTGATAGCTTATTACTAAAATATCTATCATATCTGTAGCGAGGGTAGAGCATCCGGGTTTTTTACTTTTACGCTGCAACACTCCCTTTAGATCCTGTTTTACAAAGAAGAAATGGTAAATTTTAAAGAATATTTCCTTTGTCAATAAATACTTCTACAAAAACTATCCTATGTCGTGATACCACTGGGAATTCTATGCCATCGTATACATAGATCACTTGCATACCCATCGTATTCTATTGATGTCAATAGAAATCGATGAATTCCGAATCTAACTAATACAAAGTCCAAGATATTTCAACAAATTCTTGTCTCAATTTGAATCAAGTCAAAACAATAACAATAGATGAGATCAGCTAGAAGTTGAATTAGTACATTCAACGACGCAAAAAACGTAAAAAGCTAAGTTTCAATATTTCTAATCGAAATACGCTGCTAAAAACAGCGTTGTCTATTGCGCATATATATCTATTTTTCTCGGCATTTGACTGAACTTTAGTCAAGATCATCATTCTTACAAAGTTCTAGCTAGATTGATGCGTGTAAGAAACAAGTATCCGTGAAGTATTTGACCGAAATTTCACACTATTCTTCATTAAAAATGAACAAATTAGCCATCATTCGATTGAGCTCATTGAATTCTATCGATTAATATGCGTTTCCAATGTGTAACACAATCCTTAATATCCTAAATTTAGAAAAACACTTCTTTTCTCATGATACCGGGCATCATTGATTTTCTATAGGCTCTGTAAAGTCTGCTTAACTACTATAAAGCAATCAGTCATATCATCAGATATGGATGCTAATAAGGAGACGAATAGTCTACAATAAGTGCGTATTTTCTGGGACTTGATCAAGATATTTCAAAAATCAGATGACTCTCCATCATGTTCAAGAACAACATCACTCTACGGTTACAATTATTTCTTACTTTTTATTCTTATATTTCACTATAATCAACTAATTTTTTTACCACAAAGAAAGAACCAAGAATGAACAAAATTAGTGTTAATTTCGAATAAAATAGTTTACTTATTCTCCAAAATATTAGATAGCCATAATTGAAAAAAATTGCTACGAAGTTTGCAACAAAAAATTTTGCGTTTTGAACCTATCTTCTCTTTGAAAGAAAGATTAAAAGGCCAACATTTTTACAGAGAGATGCAGCAATATGTTCTCATTTAGCCACATTCATTTGGAAAATTTGAAATTACCTACATACAAAAAAAATCGACTTTTTTTGCATCTCTAATGGAAAATCTAAAGTATCTGCAAGCATCAAGAAACCATCACAACAGAAATAATGATAAACTAACAGTCATAAGTTGAGTTAGTGAATAGATAGTTAGTCACTTTTGCTTTCGACTCCTGTCTGAACAAACGAGAACTTTTTACGAATAGAGCAGTAGGCTGTCATGGATCCAAGGCCACTAGTTTATGAGTTTGTGAACCATATAAGCTTCAAATCCGCACACCCAATACAGATAGAGAGTTGGAAATTTTAGAAAGTGTGTGAAGCTATTAGAGATAGCTGAGACAAATTTTCATGAAAATCAGTTGCAACCTTTGGTTTTATTCTGATTTTATCTTCGGAAATTTAAATAGTAACATTGGTATGTAACTGACTCGTATTCATACATTTGCTTGCAATTATTTGTTGCAAAAGGTTTTTAATGTAGTGAAGACATACTTGTCCTCACGTACTGATAAACTGAATTGTTCATTTTTCCTCTTGTTCTTTCTGTTCAGTGTTATTAAAAACCTTATTTTACCCAAAACTAATAATGTATTTTGAGGATGTAGGTGTGGCTGTGGTTCTAGAGTATCTCTATGTGCCTTCTCCGATCACACCGACTCCCACGCTCACATTCACAACAATACCCTTCAACCCTTTCATCACAGACGCACTGTAACAGACGGGGCAGGCTTAGATTTGAAGCTTGAGACATTAGGAAGCATTTTATTAGATTTCTATCGCTAGCAATCAGAAAAATGTTTGGCTTTGCCAATGATTTTGTTTACGAGCAGAGTCGATTCATCAAGTTTCACATTTTAATGCCGCAGGAGTTATGTAGAAAATTTTTGGTATGACATTGACTTTTTGCACTTTAGCAGATTGTTGTAAACTATAATTTCTTTCCTCCTTGTTCTCAACAGGTGGAATGGCATGTGGAGTAGTCCCACCTTTCATCAGTGAGATCGCCTCACAACGAGTACGTGGTGCAGCCGGCGCTTCTTTTCAACTCGTTCTAACCATTGGTATTCTTGTTGCACAATTTATTGGCATGCCTTTTATTGCTGGAACATGTCGCGGATGGGGATGGGGATTGTCTATTGTATTTTTGCTACCATTTTTCGGTCTCTTTCTTCTTATCTTGTTACCAAACTCGCCTACACAATTGATTGCCAAGTATAATAATGAAGAACAAGCCGAAAACGATCTAAAACATTTACGTGGAACAAATGATGTGCACGCCGATCTTGAGACGATTCGACAGCAGATAAGAGAACAAAGTGGTTCTGGCGGATCAGAATCACTTTCGATCCTTCAGGTAAATAGCACATCAGTCAGAGTAAGAAGTCATCATACTTATAATATCTCTTATTGATAGATATTAAAAACACCTCGATATCGTTGGCCGATGCTGACTACAGTCGTCCTTCAACTTTCACAAGCAATGTCTGGTATCAATGCCGTTTTCTTTTATTCTTCAAAGATGTTCGAGAAAGCACGCATCCCTAATCATCTTATTCCTTATGCTAATCTTGGGACCGGTCTTATTAATGTGCTTGCCAGTATTGCTTCTTTGTCGTTAATTGAGAAAGCTGGTCGTCGAGCAGTGATTGTCTATCCAATGGCCATTATGGCTATTGTTTTTGGTTTGCTTGCTGTGATTGTCGAACTCAACGAGCGACTGAATAATCCTATACTAGGCCTGATTTCTGTCTTACTGATACTTATTTTTATTGTCTGCTTTGCGTTCGGTCTTGGCCCGATCCCATTTTTGTACGGTAGTGAAGTATGTCGACCTGAAGCACGCGACGGTGTTCAATCATTGGGTTTGGTTTGCAACTATTTATGTAATATTCTACTTTCGCTTTTTTTTCCTGCACTACATTCGGTCCTTGGCGGTTATGTCTTCCTCGTCTTTTTGGTCTTCATGCTACTTAATGCAACATTTCTGTTCAAAAAGATGTCTGAAACAAAGAATAAGACAATTGAAGACATTGAACGATTTTGGGGCATTGAAACAAGCACTCAAAATCCGCCAACTGACAAACTGTTACCTGTTACGGTGTGATTTTAGACCAGAAGCTTTTAATCAGTGTTGAAGTACGCGTGTGGCAAATAATTGTTGAACATTTGGAAACAGTTTCCCAATACTTTATCTTTAAGTGGAATCTGACTATAAGCATTTGTTTAGCATTGTTATTGATCAAGCTTTAATATTTTATGAAGTAAATGAATTATTGCCCTTTGACGCTGACAAAACAGCATCAAACATAAAATCTCCAGAAGTAAAAAGTTCTGGGACAGTTTTTCTTCTATTCATTAAGTAAATTTAGTCGATTGAAAATAATACCATTGGAAAGCTGATAAAAAAGCTAAGCATATTTGATATGTTTTTTTATAGTAGAAATCATAGTAGATATATGCTTTTTGTAAGACAGTCTTTGGCTGAAAAATGCTAGTGATCATTAATGATCTGTTCGGAAACAACTATAAGAGAGACAAAACAGTGTTTTTTTCTTTGCTCATTATGAAGAGCTGCAGAGCAACGACAAAATGAGACATCTCAGAACCTTCTTACATGTCAACTGGATACATTGGATGGCATAGAAAAAGAACAATCTATTTGACTATCTGTTTCCACGTAAAAATGGTTGAAAGGATGTTAAAATATATATAGTTCTATCTTGCTTCATATTTTAGTGTATTATTTGACATGTATGAAGGCTCCGAGATATCTTATTTTGTTGAAATTCTGCCGCTCTTCAGAATAAGCAAAGAAAAAAAAAATACTGTTTCGTGTCTCTTACACTTGCTTCTGAACAGATCATTAATGATCGCTAGCATTTTTCAACCAAAGACTGTCTTACAAAAAGCATCTATCTACTATGATGTCTACAATAAAAAGCATATCGAATATGCTTAGCTCTTTTATCGGCTTGCCAATGGTACTGTTTTCAATCGATGAATAAAATAAAAACTGTTTGAGAACTTTTGCCCCTAAAAATTTGTGTTTGATGCTGTTTTGTCAGCGTCAATGGGCAATAATTCGTTTACTTCATAAAATATCAAAGCTTGACCAATAATCAAGGTGGAACAAACTGATTTCAATTTCTGAAATCACTTGAAATCAGTTGAAATCACTGAAATCACTTTAAATTACAAAATCACGAAATCAGTTTGTTCTCCCTTGTGAATAAAACTGCTCAACAAACGCTTACACTCAGATTCAACTTAAATATAAAGTATTATGAAACTGTTTTCGAGTGTCCTCCAACTATTTGCTACACTTTAGTTCACAGCTTCTTTATGTTTATTCACTTTCTTCCTCTCTCTTATTTTATATCTGTTTTATATGGAACCAGCACAAACCACTGAGTGCAACAGTGAGAGCAATGTGTCCGTACGGGCTCATTTCACACTGTTACCCGCTTCTTCAGTACTATTTTCAATATCATGTGTATCCTTGCAGCACTTGCTAACTATCTGCCTACACTATCACCCAATTGTCGTGTCCATACACTCAACTGCTTCGTTTATTATCATCACTGCATAGCTTTTAAATACATCAACTGAAATCGTCTGCTTTCATTCCTCATTAGTCATATCAATAGCCAAAGGAACAAGGGCTGATTGTAGAGTTTTCTTCTTTCGGCAAGTTATGCCGTCATTGATGCGCGTGAACAATTGCATGAACTAATTAATCAAAATAATCGGAAGTACCGCTGTACTATAAATGCATTACCAACTGAGCTTGACGGAGAACACTTGAAGTGTCCAGTCTAGAGGTCTTCAAGGTCAGCGATTTTGATCGTGCCACATACTCCGCATACGATCGTGGTTCAAACTATTTAGAAGTTTTAACAGTATTCGAGTGAGACTCATTTTCATTCGTTGTTTTGATTGGTCGAAACATATTTGGCTTTGTCTTTTCTTGATCGCATTCTTACTACCTTTTTCTGTCACACTTTACAGGATTTGGCGTTGCTGATGCTCGTCTACCGAGCCTTCTATTAAGAAAACTGGCAGACTAAAAGTCCAAATCGCAGATGCATTTGAACTATCGATGAAACTCCATTACAATTTCTGCAACTGGTGTGCTACCGAGGATACATTAACGGTATCTGTCATAAACTGATATCCATGACATTCATCCTTGGGAGCTATAGTTGGTCTACTGTGTGATTGGTGTAGTCGTCGGTGTGGAGCGTTGAACGCAAGTGTGGATGCAGTTGGTTTGGATGTGAGTAGGAGTGTGAATATGGGTGTGGGTGTGGGTGTGGGATGGTGTGGGTGTGTGGGTGGGTGGGTGTGAGTGGGTGTGGGTGGGTGTGTGGGTGGGTGTGGGTGTGTGAGTGATCAATGGGGAAGAACCCACACCCACACACCCACACCCCCACTCACCCACACCCACCCACACCCACACCCTTTTTCAAATAACAATTTGACAGTTTTCTCAACATATGTCAATAAAAAAAATTGACAGTGTGTTGTGAGTGATTTTTGATTCCGAAACCCGACTCCGGTACCGTCGGAGACTGATACAGTTCACTATCAATGACTCATATTTTAACAAAGTTTTTCTCTGCCATATTAAACGAAAAGAAAAACACCTGTACAGAACGAAAGAATAGAAATTATGTAGAAAGTTGTGTGATGTATTTCGTTTATCTTTCAGGTTATTATTAGTCATCAAGTGTCATTTTGTCAACGAAAAACTACAACTTTCTCTTTTGCAATAATGACATAAAAATAAGAGTCGTGTTGCAATGTCATCTTTTGCCATACACTCAGTGGCTGTTTCAAATATCATGCATTGGTATATTCATGAATGGAGGTATCAATTGAGAAAATTCCAAGCAGCTGTTTCTTCCGTTTTTGATGCTATAAAAATGAATGTCACGAAAAGAATATAAAACTGTTATTTGAAATCACAGATTTGATACCAATATCATTCGATATTACTTAAAGGTATGTAAATATGATGTAAAAATCGACTTGAAATAATTGCAATCACGGATTCATATCGTAAATACAAAAATCCTATAAATGCCAAGTACTTAGTTTCTAAGATTTCTACTTTAACCATTACGTCAAAACTGATGCTTCAGAGATCAAATAATTGTCGCTTTGTTTCGAATTTATTCGTACATGTATGATGCTTAAGATCTCGGATAGCTATTAAAATCAGATCATTCAATTCGAAACCGTCAAGTCGATCCTAAAAATTACTTTTTTGTTTTGCATTCACGTCGCATGATTAATGTGACAAATAATATCATTATTAATCGACCGTTTCTAATTATAGGTTAATAATTTCATTGATAAAATGGAACGCAACGAAACAGAATTTCAATCACGAGGACAAATTCTTGATCATTTTCAAGTAAATCTGTTACTATTGTCGTTAGTTATCTCACTATTGTTAATTCTAGGCTGTAACTTGTTTCAATTTCGAAGATTCAATTCGCTATCTCAATCAACACCAATGGAACTTAAATGTAAGTTACGCCATCATTTTTATATAAAAGAAAAACAACTCACTTTGATCTTCGAATCAATTCATTCTAATATCTTTTTTTTTAGAGCGCACTGCAAGAATTTTATGCTGAAAACAGTAAAGTTTTATTTATTTTCTTTTTATTACATTGCATGGCACATCTTTTTTATTGTGTAGCTCCCGAAGTAGATCTTACCAACGGAGGCAATCATTTCTTAACCAGTATGATTATAAGGGAAAAAAATGATCAATATCTTGCTAAAATGATTTATAAGCATGAAAAGGATCCCAAAACTCAAACGGTAAATACTTCTTGAATCTTTGATAAGGAAAAGAAATTAAGAAAGAATAAATCATTTCTGTTTTGACCTTTGTTAGGACATATCCAATCTTGTTGTAATGGGTGACATAAAACGAATTGCTCTTGTGGCTCACAATAATAAGAAGACCGAATTGATTGAATGTCTTCGACAACATCGTGACATACTTGCTAAACATAAATTGTATGGTACGGGTACGACTGGATCATTAGTCGAAAAAGAGCTTCAAATACCTGTCACTAAATTTGAAAGTGGTCCTTTAGGTGGTGATCAGCAATTAGGTGCAAAAATTACTTCACGAGAACTTGATATTCTAATTTTTTTTATTGATCCATTGGATTCTCATCCTCATACTGCCGATGTGCAAGCGCTTCTTCGTTTAGCTCAAGTCTATGGTATTGTTTGTGCTACGACTGCTGCTATGGTCGATTTTTTACTCAGCTCACCAAAGATGAATGAACCTCATGTACGAAAAATACAAACAGGTCAAACATTGAAACCAAAATAAAAACTCATTTGATAATTATATATTTTACAAGTAACGTTCGTCGGTACGACTCACTTGACCCTCGACTGGATTCATTATATTTATTCTGATTATCCTTGACAAACACATATACAATTGAGTAATCCACAATGTCTAGAGATCGGTTCTTCTACACAAGTGAAAGATAGAAACGAAATAAATTGGAACGTATTAGCGCTCAGATTATTCCTCATTAGAATTCAAACACCTTCAATATTTTTACAGCCTCAATCGTTTTTTGTAGATTGAGCTAAACATGACTTTCAAAGTGTTTTGTTCTCTTAATGACACAGATTGCGCCTATAGAATTAAGTCCTATGCGTATCACCTAACTTTATAGAGTGTAATAATTTCCAGCGCGAGTTTGGAACAAAACTTTTACATGATTCAAATTTAGATCTGGTGATGACTAGCTGTGGTGGATTCTAGACTCATAAAGAATAAAACAGTAGAGAGGATCATACAACATCCTAAAACTAAATGTTTTCTGGTGTGTTTCAAGAGGTTCAATATTTGTCGTAGCATAGGGAAATCCGAAGATATGTTAACCTTTTTATTTGTTGTCTAATGTTCCTTCTTACAATAAGCATAAAGGAAAACCATGTTACTTCTGCATACCAGTTATCCACAATCCAACTTTCACAATTATTATCTTTTGAGATTCAGCCACAAGACATCTGCTTTTTTCTACACGGATGTTATTACAGGGAGAATTTGTTAAGTAACGCTTTTCGCCGAACGTACGTTAAGAATGTTGTACATGTTCAGAAAAATTCTTTCATACAATTAATTTGAAAGAAAATTGCTTTTCTTTTTTTGCTGATTGAGGACACTATTTCAACTGGTTAAACTCGATTGGTTGGTAACTGCTCTACGGATTTTGGGTCTGCCAGAAGCGTACTTTTTCTGAAGCTTTCCAAGCAGCGGCTAGTCGTTCATCGGTGCCCCTACGGGGCGCCACTCACGACTAGCTGCTGCCATACTTAAGTGTAATTTCTCTATTTATAATACTCTTTCATTTACTATTGAATGGCTACAATTTTGACTTCTTCCGAAATCTTCTTCAATTTACCATACAATAATGTTCTAAGAATATTTCCAACAAATGAGATTTTGTTGTAAATCACCGTTCATAGTTGTAATTTCATGACCATTCTAGGAAATAGACGTTATATGAGAATTTCTCATTAACGGAATCTTGCCAGAATTCTCTCGAAAAGCGCGGTAGGCTTCTTACGAGCTTTCACTAAGAACATCATTGATGAACTTTTAGAATCATCGACTAGTCTTTCGTCAAAGCTCCTCTGGAGCACCATTCACGGCTAGTCGCTTCCATGTTTAAGTGCAACTTCTCATTCGAAAATCTCTTTGTAGAGCTCAGATGCATTTTCGAACAAAAGTGTGAGATGAACTAAAGTCGCAATGTAGAGGCTTCTACCATTTCCTTTCTAATAGATACAAACATAGAAAATTGAACGTGATGGATTATGTTCATCGGAACGATGGAGAGGCGAAGCATCAGGCAATAGGTATATTTGTCGTAAAAAATTAGAAGAAATCTCGACAGAAATTTCCGATAAGCGCAGATTTTGTTGTGAACTATACTTAATACCTTTGTTTTTTTCTCGATCTTGCTATAAAAACTGCGTTAGATTGGAATTCTTCGTTAACGGAAACTTGATGAAGTGTTCCCAAAAGACATGTTAGATTTCATAACGATCTATTCCCAAGCATAGCTGCAATTGACCTCGAAAATGAGCGGCCAGTCGTTTGTTGGCGCTCCTCCAGAGCACCACTCACGACTAGCCGCACCCATGTTCAAGTCTACTTCTACATTGGTTCATTCTCTTGTATCCACAATCAAACTTATTAGTGTTTCCCTAACTCAAAACAATTACAGAATTGACAATAGAAGGACCACCTACATGAAACTCAAAATAAGCAGACAAAGACGCATATATCTATAAACAGGGTGCATTATATCCACGTTAATGAAACGTCACTGTGAAATCCTCGTTGTCTTCTACAAATAATGTTTATTGAAAAGCATGAGTTCCTCAAAATTTGATTGAACGAGGAATGCACCCAAAAAATACTGATCGGCTTAAAGCCCAGATTCTCACAACCTGATTGGACGAAAGCTAGGTTTTGGAAAACGTTTCAATAGCTGAAATTTCAAACAGGGATAATCTGATGGGTTGAAAGCCCGATATCGAAAAGCCCCGATTGGCTGAATTTTGAAGCTGAAAAAATCTGATTCGTCGACAGGCCGATATCGAAAACCCCTGATTCGCTCCATTTCCAAGCTGAAGAAATCTAATTAGTCGAAAG